GGGGGGGGGGGTGTGTGTGTGTAAAACTCACCCTGGCAAACCACTGCACTTGGGGTGTATGTTCCCGTTGCCTGTAGTGTCCCAGTCTGGGTTGCCATCTGAAAACTTCTACTCAGTTTGAATTTATGCTAGTAAAAAAAAAAATTTAAAGTCTCTTTGTCACTTCTGATTCATTTTTGCATTTATCTGCTGGTTCAGACTAAAGAAAAGCAACCAAAAAACCCCCTCAAAATGTAAACCGATGATTTGCTACATGCTTCATTTTGAAATAACGGGGTGTGGCTGAAGTGCTCGCTTCTTGGGAGTCTGAACCTTGGCCTCTGAGTGCCTCTGTTGGGAAGCGACGTGATGCCGGAGGCACAGCCGGGAGCGCGGTGGTGAGCGGTCAGATCTCCCTGCTGCGAGCGCCGGCGACACACGTGATACCTTTGAAGCAGTTGGGATGTTGCGTGCAGTAGACATATCATTCCTGGTGGAAGGTTTCTAATTTATCACGGGGCACTGTCCTCTTGCAGGTGCTTGTTCCCGGCTTTGGGAGGCCAGCGTGACAGGCTCCTTGCAGGCTGAGGGATTTGCTATGATTGTGGCCAGCTGGATGTCACCTGGATGCTTTTCCTCGGTGTCCTGCATCATTTGGCTCTGCCTGCCGAGCTCCCCCAAGGCATAGGCCGTGGTTTTGGTCCACACCTTCCCCTGGTCTTCTTCAGTGGTCCTGTTTTGCCCTTGCAAGCGCTCGTGTCTCCTGCGGCACAGGAGGTGCAGGCAGCCGTAGAGGAGGATGGCGGCGATGATGAGGAGCAGGACGCTGCTGGTGAGCCAGATGCCCAGTGCCAGCTCTTTCTTGGTATTGCTGGTGGATGCTGGGTCTCGTTCCAGTGTGTTAAAAACTCTGCACTGGTCACTGGAGGGGTTGGCGGACTGGCAGGTCACGCACACGATGTACGTCGTTAGCGGAGTGAGGTTTTCGACAACGAAGGAGGAACGACTGGCCGGCACCCTCTCCTCCTTCTGAAAGCTCTTTCTCGAGTAACTCGACAGCACGCTGTTCCAGTTGGGGTGGTACATGACACTGTAAAAGCTGTCGGTACAACTGGCCATTTTTGGCCAAATTACCATTGCTGTGTTTCCTGTGATGTTTTGGACGGTTATTCCCATCAGGATATCCCTCGGGTGGTTTTTTTGTCCTCTCCTGATGCCAATCTCGCTGTGGAGAGGCGAAATGTTTGTTTCCCAGAGAGGTAACTGAGAAGCTGCGGTGCTGCGGCTGCCGTGTGGAGCTTAATCGTAGTGCTCTGTAATTTAGGAAAGGAGTTGATTAGGAAACTATGCTCTTACTGCTGGTACTGCTGTGTCAAAGGGAGAGTTGGCCGTTCATAAAGTTTGGAGAATTTTTAACTGTGTATTTTTTCCCCAAATGAAAGGCTAGATAGATGCTTATAGAAATTCAGCCAGAGCTGCTGCCTGGTGGTCCAGGTGATCTGCTGTACCTTGCCCCCATGACAGACGGTGTGTTCTGCAGAATTTACAACTGGGGGAACCGCTTCCTTCCAGAGGTTTTTTTTCCGACAGCTGTGCGCTCGCAATGGGGAGTGAGGGGACGCTGGCCCTCAGCATCGCATTCAAAGCTTGCCTCTATGTCAACTTTGGTATACGCACTGCCCACGTATGTGGGACAGTCCCGAGAGTAAGGTCACTGGGTATTTTTGTCTTAAGGAATTTGTGGTTAGGTAACATTAAGCGAAACAAAATCTCTTCAAGACTGTGAAGGGGAGAGGTGGATATGCTTTGTACTTCTGAAATACATACCCCTCCCACAGGGAAAAACAAATGATCAGAAGTTTACGCAAATGCATTAATAAATGCCTCTCTCCTTTGGAGCAATGCTGAAGTATTTTTTTTTAATAGAATAAACATTTCTAATAGGGAAAAAAACTTAATATTTAAACATAATTTTATCTTATGAGTCAAACTCTCATGGAAATAAAAACAAACATTGAATTCTAAACTGAACTGAACCATTGTCTGGTTTGGAATTTAAACTAAAGACTGACAGATTGACCATCCAACTAATTGACTGTCACACAAAATACTTGCCCAAAGAGTATGTTGATAAGTGGGGTGTGAGGCTGTTTGGCTGGTTGGCTTTTAAAGGAAAGAAATGCAGCATTTGCTTTTGTCTGTAGTCTGAGTATCTTACATTTTATTTTCCTTATTTAGTGTTTTCCATTATCTTAAAGCTTGCTTTTGTGAGCAATGAATTTTCTTATGTTAAGTGGCAAGTGAGGGGTACAGGAGTGGATCTTGAGGAATAAATTCCTCTACCATCCACAAGTCTTGATGTTTGCCTGTCACAGTCAATTGAAAACCAAAACAGTACGTGGAAACATAACCAGATATTATTGTCTCCAATATCACTTTACATTATTTTCTCATTCCTTATTTTTTGCTGGTGAGTTAGCACATCTGTAGCCACTGCTAGAGCAGCGGCCATGATCACTGAACATTGACGGCATCAGAATTGCAGTATTTAGTCTTGATGCTAGTCAGCCTTTTGGAAAAGCTTTCTCAGGTTTGGCTTAGTTGGTGAAATACAGTATTCACCCCAGCATACCTTTTGGATAAATGGTGTTTTTTTAAAAAATAATATTTTCTGTGCTAAATGATTGTATCTAATTCCGTAATTCCATAGTGTTACTGCCCTGGACTAATACTCCTCCTCGTGGTAAAATTAACATTAGAAAACCTGCCAATATTTTGAGATTCTGAATTTGTGTTACCACTGTAAACAGTGTAAGGAAAGCATCTATTTTCTGCAATTTTCTAACAGCTTCTGTTGAAGAGTATCTTACTTTCAGGACAAAAAGTTGGCTTCTGCCTTGGTAGACTTTTAATGAAAATTGTTATTTTATAGCAGAATAAACCTCAATAACAGACAGTGTATATTTTTGTTTGTTTGATGGGTTTTTTGCTTTTACTGTTGCAAGGATAACTTTTGAAAAAGAGCCCACCTCAACAATTTATCTGATTCTCTTTTAGTTTAGGAGTCAGTTTCTAGTGGCACTCATGTGAAAGTTTTTTCCACTGTGAAAGTTTATTACTTTTTTTAATGAACATAAATGCCCACGACAGTAACGCTGCGTTTCATTGTTTATGACTTCATTATAAAAATCAATTTTTTTTTTTATGATCAGGTTTCAGATGTGAAGTCTCTTGGCTAAATAACGATTGACTATTGAAAATTCTCCTGATGAAGAAAGCTTCTAAGATCTGCTTATAAAACATTTTGAAATTATTCTGTAATACTTTTATTGTATTTTATACTAGATAGGAGGCTGGCAATATCTGTATTATTTTAGTGGGATTTTGATAGTTACGTTACATTAATAGTAAGAATACTGTGACTTTATGTATGAAAATTGTTGCTTGAGGCTTCTGGATTATATTTGTTGGGAAGTGGGAAGAAAAATATGTATATTTTCATGACAATGTAAAACCTTATATATGACTGATCTGGGTAGATGCTGCCATTCTAATCGTGTGGTAAGTGCACCCTTTCTGATACAGCAACAATATGAAGGAAGTAAGTTTCCTATCAAATAAACGTATTAGACAGACACATTTTGCCATCTACCCAGTTTATGCAGATATTAAAATCAGGTGCGTTAGTGTGAATAGAGCTTTTACTTGCTCATTTGTCTTCTCTTTAGCTAGTAGATTCCAGGTACATTAAATAATTATTTATTTTTTATCAAACATTTCCTAACACAGTTTAGAAACAGTAGTTTCATCCTCACAGATCTTTGTATGTGGAATGTTTGGATTGTAATTAAATAACAATAATACATTTATATTGTTACAAAACATCAGATATTAGAAGACACATAATTACTGGCATGTAAATGTTTGGAAAACCCATCTGATATTTTATGGATTGCAAAGTCAGTACTTACCGTCACTTCCTGACAGAAATTTCAGAACAGAATTTTCATACGGTGACGCTGCTACGAAAATGACATAAACACTAAATTTTCTGTATCCTTTTTCACATGAGTCATTTCCTGCCTGATTTCTGCTTGCCAGTTTGCTTTTTCTTCCCCTCAGATTCCCTGGACTGAATTCTCACTGCTTGGTGCTTTCAGTATTTTTCTCCGATGCTGCTAGGGGCATGGTTTCTTTGTCTCTTCCACTTAAATTCATGCAATAGCACATCTTGTCTAAAGGTGCTGTAGCATTGCTTTCAAAGAACAAACAGGAGAAAAAAGAATGCCTTTTACCCCCCCCTGTTGCTTGCATCCACTTGGACACTGTGCTGCGTGAACATCCCTGTTATAGGCTCTTGTGCCGGTACCAGTGATGCTGTGAGTGATTAATGTTAGCACTTTGATGACATCAGCAACTAGCAACTCCCTCTCTCCTTTTTTTTATTTAAGTCGGGGAGGGAGCAAGCGTAGCTTAAAAAAAGAATGAGCTCCCTCGCTCTTTCCTTCCCTTCCTCCTCCCCCAACTTTGTGAGTGGCTTCCTCCCGAAGGATTTTTGTGCTGTTGTGCATCGGGGCGGAGGGGGAGGCGGTGGTGGTGGTTGAGGGTGTTTTGTAAATCCCTTGTCGCAGTTTGTAAAGCTCACTCATCCAGCGTTTACAGGTGGACCATTTTAGGTGCTTCCCCCTGAGGGTTACATTGAAGACAGGTGTAATTTTAGATTGGCTGGCTGCTTATGGTTATGTATCGGTGAGTTTTTAAATACCAAAACCATGTTTTTAGGGCTTGCTTTTCAATGACAAATTTGCTGTGTGAAGAGGAGTTCCCTCCCCTTAACCTCACAGCAGTAAAACGCTTTAACCTACTGGAGTAAAATTCCCCTTGTGCGGTAGCCGGAACAGGTATTTTGGGCACGTTTATTGTGGAGACCTAACGGATTGGAAACATCAAAAGTGAAAGATGAAATCTCACCTTTTGGGGACAACTGCAGAAATGCTTTGTGTATCGGGACGTTCCCCCGCACCTATTTCCTTAAGGTTTTACCAGTTCTCTCCCCCAACTCCCTTTCCGTAAGCTGAGAGCTACGCAGATGCACGTGTTGTGCTGGAGCGGGGCGGCTGGAGGCTGCCCACCCGGCGGGGCGTGTTTGGAGTGCGGCCCTGTAGCCAGCTCCGATCTCATAGCAGAGCTGTGCCGTGCATTAGGAGTCTACTGATTAGCCAAGCGTCCGTTTTAGTCTGCGCTGCCAGAGAAGACGGCTGGGCTTTTGGAAACAGCCCCGCACCACAAAATAAACAGGAGCCCATGGTCCTTAGAACAGAGCTTCCCAGACTGACAGACGGCTGGGGGACCCTCCAGAGCAGGGTGACCTGCAGCAGGTTGCTCAGGGACGTGTTCGGTTGGGTCGCAAACATCTCTGAGGACAGAGACTCCACAGCCTCTCTGTTTGACCGCTCTCGCAGTAGTGATATTTTTTCTGATGTTTAAATGGAATTTCCCGTTTGTGCCCGTTGCCCCCTGTCCTGTTACTGGGCACGGCTGAGCCGAGTCAGCTCCATCACCTTCACTCCCCCATCAGTTACTTCTCCATGTGGATGTGATCCCCTGGAGCCTTCTCTTCTCCAGGCTGAACAGTCCCAGCTCTCTTAAGCCTTTCCTCATAGGAAAGATGCTCCAGTCCCCTAATCATCTTTGAGGCCCACTGCGGGACTCTCCCATACACCTCTCCATGTCTCTCCTGTACTGGGGAGCCCAGGACTGGACCCAGTGTTCCAGGCATGCCTCACCTGTGCTGAGTAGTGGGGACAGATCCCCTCCCTCAAGGTGCTGGCAGTGCTCTGCCTGATGCAGCCCTGCTGGCTGTTGGCCGCCTTTGGGGCAAGGTCATCCCGCTGGCTCGTGGTCAGCTGCTGGTTCACCAGGACCCTCAAAATAAGGAAAACAAAACCACCACCCCCCCCCCCCACCTTCTGCAGGTCAGGCTGTCTTGCTGTGTAGTTTCTTCACGCAGATGGAGACAGAAGTTCAGGCACATAAGAATTAGAACTAAACCTTTAAGTAAATTTTGGTACAGGCAACTTCTTGAATTTTCACATTGCAGAAATAAATTGCTGATTATAACCTTCTGTGTTAGTTGAAGCATGGTAAAATTTATGTAATTTTCTATGTGTGTGTGT